CTGAAAACAAGGTCTGGACTTGAGCCAGAGCTCTCCTGCTCCATCGTTGAAATCTGCTCTCCGAGTGGTTTAGGTTTTATGGTAGCGGTTCAGGGCTGTAGCTTCACTCTAAACCCTAAACCCTAAACCCTAAACCCTAAACCCTGAACCCTGAACCCTGAACCCTAAACCTTAAACCCTAAACCCTAAACCCTGAACCCTGAACCCTGAACCCTAAACCCAAGCTTTGGAGCTGGACAATGACTGGGCCGCCTCGGCATCCGGAAGAGGAGCGACGAGCTCAGAACTCCCTCCATAGGTACTTTGACCTGGCATGCAACGAGCTAAACCCTAAACCCTAAACCCTAAACCCTAAACCCTAAACTCTAAACCCCAAACCCTAAAATCCCTAGCCTCTTGAGCTCCCCTTATGCCCTGCAGCCAAAGCTAAACAGCACTTCTCCCTCCCACTCTCGAGGTATATTGGCCGAACCGTTCTTTACTACATTGCACTACATTGCCTTACATTGCATCGCATTGCATTGCACTACATGACATCGGATGGAGGAGATCGGATGGATGAATGGATAGGTGCGCAAGTAAAGACAAAGTGAGCAACGTAACGATGAACATACATCTCATATATACATCTATACATCTAGAAACACACACACACACACACACACGCTCTCTCTCTCTCACACTATAATCATGGTCCCTCAGGGCTTCCATTAAATTTCGGAGAGCTTTGTATTTAGAGTTAACCGAACCCTGCACCCAAACCCCAAACCCTAAACCCTAAACCCCAAACCCTAAAACCTAAACCCTAAAGCTCAAGCCCCTGCCCCCGAAAGGACCCTCGCAAGGACCCACCTCGGGCAGCCACGTCTCCAAGAGGACCGACCAGGGCCCCATGGCCACCACCAGCACATCACAGGGAATCACCTGAGAGGGTTTAGGGTTTAGGGTTTAGGGTTTGGGGTTTAGGGTTTAGGGTTTAGGGTTTAGGGCTGTAGGATGTCAGAGCTTTGCGGGGGCTTTAGTGTTTAGAAGGGGTTTCGGGTTTAGGGTTTAGGGTTTAGGGCTTTAGGGTTCAGGGTGTAGGGTGTAGGGTCTAGGGTCCGGGGTGTGGGGGCTCAGGCTTCTGGGGTTGTGGATCCGAGGGATGCAACGGTCCTAAAGCCACCAAACCGAGGGGCTTGGGCTTACGGGCCCGAAAGTGTAAGTCCCTAGCACCCGAAATTCTGTAAATCCTAGAGCCTAAACCCAGAAACCCCTAAACCCTGAAAGAAAAAACCGAAGAACAAATTCGTGCCGACTGCTGGAAGCCTCCAAAAATGGAGGCCCCCACCCCCTTCTCGCCTCAAAGCCCGTTCAGGGCTCAGGGTTTCCAGAGTCTAGGGTTTAGGAGTTCAGGGATCAGGGCTTAGGGTTTAGGGTGTAGGGTTTAGAGTTTAGGGCTCCAGGCTTTAGAGCTGGGGGCGTCTTCAGGCTAAGGTTATCCTGGCTGTCAAAACCACTGCAAAAGCACTGCGAACCCTTCTCCTGAATTTTGCATGCCCAGTCTCCCACACGAACTAAAGACCCTGTAGGCCAGCAATAAGTATTCAATTGCTACTTTGCGCCGCCGACTCAGGGTAAGCCCCTAACCCCTGCTCTACCAGCATTTCGGGGTTTAGGGTTTAGGGTTTAAAGGGCTCCATTCGGGCTGAGAGTTCAATGGCTGAAGGGTGTGGGGGCGACCATAAACCCTAAACCCTAAATCCTAAACCCTAAACCCGCGGAGTCTAAAAATCTCAGGGCCTTCGGGCTTCAGGGCTTCACGGGCTTCAAGGAGCTTCGGGCCCTCTAAACCCTAAACCCTAAACCCTAAACCCTAAACCCCTAAACCCTAAACCCTAAACCCTAAACCCTAAACCCTAAACCCTAAACCCTAAACCCTAAACCCTAAACCCTAAACCCTAAACCCTAAACCCTAAACCCTAAAGGAGACGCAAAGCTCGTGCATGAAAATCCGCGCCTCCCCACTCACGAGGACACCTTTCACCTTCCCGGCTTCCGAATTTGGCGGCTTGGGGCTCAGGGGCTGAGGGGCTCGGGGCTCAGGGGCTCGGGGCTCAGGGTTTCTAGGGTTTATAGGGTTTATAAGGTTTATAGGGTTTATAGGGTTTATAGGGTTTATAGGGTTTATAGGGTTTATAGGGTTTATAGGGTTTATTGGGTTTATTGGGTTTTTGGTTTAGGCTTTAGAACGACCTAAGCAAATGGTTGAGGGTCGTATTTTGAGAATGCCAGATTGAGAACCAGCGAACACTCTGACTACCTGTTGGCAATGCTGACGTCCCTGTTTCTTAAGCAAACCACCCGAAACCCTCAACAACCCTAAACCCTGTTGCAGGGGTCGCCTCAAGTACAAGCTATGTACGGTACCTCTAAACCCCGAAAGCCCAGGTTTAGGGTTCGGGGGCATTGTGACAGAATGCCTCTACGCCTGCATCTGGAGCATGCCGCCCTAAACCCGGGCAGGCCTCCACCTCCTTCCTCTTCCCCCCCCCCCCCCCCCCCCATCCCCCCAACTCCGCCCTCCCCCTGAAACAAAAACTCTTTACCCCCAAAAAATCAACCCCAAACACACAACTAGAACACAAGTGTATCAAGGCCAGGACAACACTCTAAACCCTAAACCCTAAACCCGAAACCCTAAACCTTAAACCCTAAACCCTAAATCCAAACCTTAAACCCTAAACCCTAAACACCCCCAAGCTCCAAGCCCGAGCCTGATCTCCTTCTTTCTTGAGGCCCTCGACCTCGGCACTGAAAGCAGCACACCAGCCTCTAAAGCCAAAGCCCTAAACCCTAAACCCTAAACCCTAAACCCTAAACCCTAAACCCTAAACCCTAAACCCTAAACCCTAAACCCTAAACCCTAGACTCCAACGTATAAGGCTGGAACTTCAGCGTCTCGAGCTGAGTGGTGGAAGGCTTGAGGGGCGGAAGGCTGTCGTGTGTCGAGGGTTTAAAGGCCTGAGCAACCAAAGCCACATTGCCTAGGGCCTAGGATGGCCCTTCATCTTAAACCCTCTAAACCCTAAACCCCCTAAACCCTAAACTAAACCCCAAACCCCAAACCCCAAACCCTAAACCTAAACCCCAAACCCTTAATACCAAAACCAATCCAGAATATGATCCTCTTCAGCCCACTAAGGGAAAATAAAAGTTGTCGCAAAGGGCCTACCGAGCTGCCCCTCAAGGCAGTGCCTGACTACTTTTGGGGTTGGGTTCGGCGCCTGCAAGCAAACGCAGAAAACAAGGTGAAGAACACCGAGGAAGTGCAAAAGACAAGGGTTTAGGGTTTAGGGCTTAGGGCTTAGGGCTTAGGGTTTAGGGTCAGGGGATTAGGGTCAACTCAGCACTCTCTTCTTTGCAGTCGAGGGCTCCCAAAAAGGGGCCATAATCAGATCAACACTACATGTTAAACGCTGACATGGCAACCCCCTGTGCCACTAGGTCATCCGTCTAAAGGCTCTCACACATGCACCCGAAACCCACACCCTCCAAACCGTAAACCCTAGCTCAAGGTTCAGGGTTTCAGGCGTTTCTTGCACCGTAAGCCGCAGACCATCAAATCCCGAACTCCTAAACCCTAAACCCTAAACCCTGAAACCCTAAACCCGAAACCCTAAACCCAAAAACTCAACCGGGCTGTTGCCTTAAAGATGCGGGGCTGAGGGAACCCAGGACAACCTCATTCTCCTTGTGTTACGTCTCTCCCTTAAGGGGTATGGGGCCCTAAACCCTAAACCCGAAACCCTAAACCCTAAACCCTAAACCCTAACCCCTAAACCCCTAAACCCCTAACCCCTTAACCCCAAGAGCCCAAAACCTTGGAGGCCCTGGCTGTGCCCAACTTCAACGTGGCCCCTTTGGCCACTGCTGCATCCATCATCTTCCGGGTCACTTCTGCCGGGTGCACCTTCCAAAGGGCTCACGGCGTGCCCGGTTGGGGCCTTAAAGGATTCTTGCCGGGGTTTAGGGTTTAGGGTTTAGGGTTTAGGGTTTAGGGTTTAGGGTTTAGGGTTTAGGGTTTAGGCTCTTCAACCCCATCAGGGAAAATGTTATGCAATGTCCCAGGGGCCTACCCGGCTTACTCTGGGACAAGTGGGGCTGGGTGGGGGGAGTTTAGAGTTCAGGGTTTCTTCCAGGCTCAGGGACCTCAATAAGTAGGGTAAAAGGCTGCCCCTTCATGTGGCTGCTCCCAAACAACTCTAGGCATAAGGCATACCCCCTCCCCAACCTGCCCTTTTCGCGCTGAGTCGGTGAACCTGCATCGCATGCTCGTGCTAGCTATTCACGTTTAGGGTTTAGGGCTTAGGGGAAGCTGGCTCCGTTCTAATCCTAAACTACTAGTTGCTTAAGAACCCCGAACAAAGAAGAACTATTTTTCCATAGGGATTATGTTTTGTTATTCTTTTGGGGTTCTTAAGCAAATAAAATAGTAGTAAACCCCAAACCCTAACCCCCCCCCCCCCTCCCCCCTCCTCCCCCAGCTTCCTTTTGACCCGCAGCAGCTCTGGGCCTCGCTTTGTAGCATTAAAACCAGAGCCCAAGCCCCGAGGGCGAGAGTCCATGGCCTGTCTGCAACGTGTTCCTCCAAAGAGTGACTGAATCTGGCCCCCTGGTTCTTAGTAGGGAATGAGGGAATTAGGGGCCTATATATACCCTTTAAGGATTATACAGGGTACCTCATTCCCTCATTCCCTACGAAGAACCAGCCAGCTGGAGCCATGCGGCTGCCTTGTCGCTGTCGCCACAGCTGTCAGCAAACCTTCTGAATCCATCTGCTGCGCGATCTTGGATTGCGGGATGCGGCACCGGGTAGCTGCGTAGTTGCAGCTTTATGCCCAAAGCTGTCCCAGAGCAGTGGTGGGGAATCCGCAGCAGCTCATGTTGCACACCTCGCACAGAGTCAAAGACTCGGATTGCAGACCTCCTCGAATCCGCCAGGGTTCGGCTATTTCTCGCTATCCTCCTCCGCCGGCATCCAAGTACCTGCAGCTTCGACTACCTACGCAACTACAACTCCAATCACCATAGCCTGTGGGTTCTCGTGAAGGAAGATAACCTAATGCGGATACAACTTTACTTGCAAGTTTACCTTGCTTCGGGAGCTTCATGTAGGTTCCTTAACAAGAACCCAGCCTATGGTGCGCGTTCTTCGGTCTATCTAAAAAACCACCGAAGAACGGACCTAGGTTGGTTTAGGGTTTAGGGTTTAGGGTTCAGGGTCCAGGGTTCAGGGTTCAGGGTTTCGGGTTTAGGGTTTAGGGTTCAGGGTTCTGAAACCACAGCCCCGTCTCCAAAGGCTTCGGATGGACTCCTGGCATCGTGGCGCGCCAGTCTCAACCTGCACGCAACCCCCCTTGGTTCTTAGTAGGGAATGAGGGAATTAGGGGCCTATATATATATATATTTATATATATATACCCTTTAAAGGGATTACATAGGGTACCTCATTCCCTCATTCCCTACTAAGAGCCAGACTAGGCGTGTGGGCTGCTGGGGTTCAGGGTTTTCGGGTTTGGAGCTACTTAGGGCTACCCTAAACCCTAAACCCTAAACCCTAAACCCTAAACCCTAAACCCTAAACCCTAAACCCTAAACCCTAAACCCTAAACCCTAAACCCTTAAGAAGAAGGCCTCGCTCCACTATCCTACCAGATTGAGCGGCTGGGGTTTTCTTGTAGGGGTCTTTGGGTTACAAGCGCGAAAACATCGGGTTTTCCCACGTCTGCTTTGGAACTGCTAAGTTCCCTGAGCCTTACAAGTAAGAGTATAAGTAGGGTTTCATGGTATGGGGGCTTGTAGTGGTTCAGGGTTCAGGAAGTTCAGGGTTAAGGATAGTCCAATCCACAGTAGCCTTCGGCTGACATACCGATCGCACAACCTCCTTACGCAGCGCGCAGCCTTGCTGTCACCATCACACAAACCCCACACCCGACAACCCTGAAGACCCAACGCCTTTAACACTTAACCCTACACCCCAAGAAGGGAGGAGATGCTTCGGAGCGTCAGGCTTACGGCTTAAGCCTCGGGAATGTTCCGAGGCTTTAGGTCTACGTACTTCAGAGACTGCTTCATTGCCAAACGACCCTAACCCTTTGCTCTTTAGTCACTGTATATCAACACCTAAAGAAGATGAAGGTGTTTGGGGGAGGGGGGGGGCGCGGGGGGCTGTGGAGAGGGTGAACGTCCTGAAAATCTCAGCTCCCTAAACAACATAAAGACATATGCTTCATAATGCTATGATGGCGCGCATATTACACATACTTGTAAGTATTCTAGTTTCTTTCTGTGGGGTACCTAGGAGACCTTATGGAAGCTCAGGGAGCCTTAGGGAGTAGGGAGTATTAGGGAAATACCCCCCCACCCTTAGGGTTTAGGGTTTAGGGTTTAGGGTTTAGGGTTCAGGTCTGATTCAACCCCTCCCGTACGGATCCTATAATTAGGCGGCCTGCACTGGCTCGCGGGGCGCCAGGCGGTACACCTAAGTCCAAGAAGGGCTTCGCAGAGATGCCGGCGCTGAGGGCTTCGGCAGAGAGATGGAGCTTCGGGAAACTTCAACGCCCCTAAACCCTAAACCCTAAACCCTAAACCCTAAACCCTAAACCCTAAACCCTAGACCCCTTGAGAACTTTAGGGTTGAAGGGGCCTCCTTGGTCAGTTAGCTGGGGTCAGTGTTGAGATGGATGTAAGGTGATGGGTTCTGAACCCTAAAACCTGGACCTGAAAAGGGCTTAGCGTGGAGGGTGTAGGGCTTAGGGTTTGGGGTTTATGTAAGGTTTTCGGATGAGTTCTGAAGCGTAAAAAACTCGACGGGTGTAGGGTGTAGGGCTTAGGGTTTAAGGTTTAGGATGGACTGTGATTTTGTCTAGAGCTCCCTTCCTTTTTGGCAGGAACACCACGCCCCCCCCACCTCTTCAGAACCCAACCCCGACACCCGGAACCCTAAACCCTAAAACCGCAAAAACCCGAAAACCTGAACCCTGAACCCCAAAAACCCGAAAATCCCTGAACCTTAAACCCCCAAAATCCCCAACAACCCCAAACCCCAAACCCTGAGCCCCAAAAACCCTACACCCTAAACCCCAAACCCTTAACCCCAAATACCCCACGCCCCAAACCCTAACCCCTAAACCCTAACCCCTAAACCCTAAACCCTAAACCCTTGAACCCCCCATCAGCCCAGAGTTCCGCACCCGCTTCTGGTCGAGGTTCAATGCCTCGGAGAAGGCCAGGCGGCACTCCTGCAGTTGAGGGTTTAGGGTTTAGGGTTTAGGGTTTGGGGTTTAGGGTTTAGGGTTTAGGGGTTTAGGGGTTAGGGTTTAGGGTTTAGGGTTTGGGGTTTAGGGTTTAGGGGGTTAGGGGTTTAGGGGTTTAGGGGTTTAGGGTTTAGGGGTTTAGGGGCTCAGGGGTTTAGGGGTTTAGGGTTTAGGGTTTAGGGTTTAGGGTTTAGGGGTTTAGGGCTTTAGGGGCTTAGGGGTTTAGGGGTTGTAGAGTTTCGGGCTGTCGGGTGTCAGAGGTCCGGGGCTTCGAGGTTTCATTCACAAGGGGCTTAGATTCGTGAGGGGCTTAGGGATTTCGGGGTTCATGCTTGCAGGGCTCGACCCCGTCTTCTTATGCGAAGCCTCCCCATCGAACTTCCTGCACGCGCGGCATCCCCCCACTCTTGGAGGGCCTAGAAACCCCTAAACCCTACACCCTACAACCCCTAAACCTCAAACCCCAAGCCCCAAACCCTAAACCCTAAACCCGACAACCCCGCAATACCCCGCACCCCCAAAACATCGAAGCGAACAGCTCGAACCATGACCCGAAGCACTTGACACTAGGAGCCCGAGCTCCTTCCAAAGGGGCTGAGAGGGGGGGGATTGGGGCTGCGAAAATGTGAGTACCCCCTTGTGGGCCTGGGGTTTAGGGTTGAAGGGGCATACTCTTTTGGGGTATAGCGGGGGTTGCTACCCCTAAACCCCAAAACCCAAATTAATCAATTTCCAGGTGCCGGCATCTGGCGGCTCTCGCACACGAGCACGCGCCTCTGGCAATGGCCGTATAGCTAGGCTTTAGGGTTCAGGATTTAGGGCTTACGGTTTCAGGTTTACGCCTTAAACACCCTGGACCCAATGTGTTACAGCTGGCTTCCATGGATTCAGGCTGCAATGCTTAGCGTGTAGGGTTGTATTCACCCTAAACCATAGAATCCCGAGATCCTAAGCCATAAATGGCTCCCGGAACCAGCTCCCCCACTCACCCCCCAAAACGAGCTTCCCTTCCATTTTCGGTAGGGATTCTTGAAGGTTCCTTTTTTGTGGGTGGGAGGGGGGGAGGGGTGGGGACTTTTGTGATCTTTGGAAGGCCTGTGTCCAGCTATACATGCTTGGTGAGATTGGTTCAGGGACCGTGGTTTCGGCGTGGAGGCTTCCGGGCTATGGCACCCTACAGCCCTAAATCAAAAAAGCCCTTAAACCCCCCAACGCCGCCCCCGCCCCCTTCAAAAAAGAAGAGAAAAAACTAAACCCTCAACCCTCAACCCTAAACCCTACACCTCTCTTACATATATAATTCAACTGGGGAGTTACTGGGCAATGTCGCCGTTTTACTGGGCAAGGTCGCTGTTGTACTGGGCAAGGTGGTTTTAGGGCAGGCCCCACTCTGGGCTGGCTTTAGGGTTCAGGCCCCACTCTGGGCTTCAGGGCCTACTCTGGCTTTAGGGTTCAGGGCCTACTCTGGGCTGGCTTTAGGGTTCAGGGCCTACTCTGGGCCGGCTTTAGGGTTTAGGGTCTAGTCTGGGCTGGTTTAGGGTTCAGGGCCCGCTCTTTTCTGGGCTGGCTCTAGGGTTTAGGGCCTACTCTGGGCTGGCTTTAGAGCTGTTGTCTTGTCGCCTGATTTATACATGAAAGTGAAATATTTTTCTTAATGTTATGGGATTCTTTGGGCAGGGGGGGTATTTTTCCAACGCTCGATGCAAGCGCTTGACTAGTGACTGCTTGGACTTGAGATGCTGAACCCTAAACCCTAAACCCCAAACCCCAAACCCTAAACCCTAAACCCCCCCCCCCTCCCCACGACCCTAACAAAAGGAAAGGCCTGCCGCGCTGGAGGGATTCTCGACAGCGCTCACCTCGACGAGAGGGGGGGGGTGGGGGGGGGGGGGGGTGCGCGCTTGCTGGCTAAGAGTGGTTTGGGTTTAGGTTTAGGGTATAGGTTTCGGGTTTAGGGTTTTGGTTTGGGGTCTAAGGTTTTTGGGGTTTGAGGTTGTGATCTAGCCCTAACCCTAAACCCTAGCCCTAAACCCTAAACCCTAAACCCTAAACCCTAAACCCTAAACCCTAAACCCTAAACCCTAAACCCTGAACAACCTTCAAAGCAATGTGGGACTCCAGATGCCAGCCAGCTGCCCAGGCGCCAAGCCAAGGCTTTCGAGTAGCCTCGCCGGACTTCCCCAAGCCCACCCATGTAGGGTTTAGGGTTTAGGGTTTAGGGTTTAGGGTTTAGGGTTTAGGGTTTAGGGTTTAGGGTTTAGGGTTTAGGGTTTAGGGCTAGGGTTTAGGGTTAGGGCTAGATCACAGAATCCCCGCCGCGACCTCCGTCTCCAGGGTTTACGTTTTCAAGGTCCCCGATAACCTTTATTCTTCATGTTTTCAGGATATTCGCTTGCACAGGCCTCCAACACCGCAGGTCTTCTGGGCTAGATGTAAACGCCCTTAAAACCAAGAGCCTAAACCCTAAACCCTGAACCCTAAACCCTGAACCCTGAACCCTAAACCCTAAACCCTAAACCCCCAAAAGCCTAAACCCGAAACCCGAAGGGTCACAGATAAAGTTTTAGGGGCCAGACCCAGGCTAGGTTTAGGGTTTAGGGTTTGAGGGTTTAGGGTTTATGGTCGAGGGTTTAGGGTTTAGGGCTTAGGGGAGGCTGGAGAGGTCTCGGGGTGTATGTCACAACCTGCAAGGTTTAGGGCCTCAGGGCGTATAGGGCTGTTTTTGGTGTGCAAAGTATGAAGGTATAGTCTGGTTGCAAGTAGTGAAGCGGTTTACGGTTTAGGGTCTAGGGTTAACCTGACCCTAAACCCTAAACCCTTTCTTGCTTCCCGTCGGCACCGCTTTCGCAACACTTCAGCCCCACACGCATCAAAATCAAAACATGCACTCCCCCCAAAAGTGACGACCGTCCCTAGACCCTGAACCCTATAAAAACCCTCCACCTGGGGGGTTGGTTCTAAACAGGGATCCCCTTCTAAGTTTTTTTAGTCTGAGCCAATAGAGGGCTTTACGGCTAATCCCCAAATTGCGTGTAGGGTTTAGGGTTTAGGGTTTAGGGTTTAGGGTTTAGGGTTTAGGGTTTAGGGTTTAGGGTTTAGGGTTTAGGGTTTAGGGTTTAGGGTTTAGGGGGTTTGGGATCAACCTCTCTCAGCCCAGCAGCCCACATCTGCTGCAATGAGAAGGTCATGGTCCGGAAGTGGCTCAGCGGTGGGGGACACCTTCCAGGGGACCCATTACCCTCGACAAGAAGCTGCAGATGTTGGGGTTTAGGGTTTAGGGTTTAGGGTTAGGGGTTATAAGAAAACATACAGTGTGGATTAAATGTGCTACTGAACATTAGGTACCACCATGCAATTGCCCCTGGTGTTTAGTGTACCTTCGGTGAAGCCAGATCGCAACCCTCGATAGTGAGCGGCAGATATTGGGGTTTAGGGTTTAGGGTTTAGGGGTTTAGGGTTTGGGGGTTTAGGGGTTTACGGGTTTAGGGTTTAGGGACCCTAATCCCGAAGCCCTAAGCCTTGCAGTTGAGGGCTCCGGGGTCCGAGCTTAGAGGGGTAGGACTGCTGGGTCCAGAAGATTTAGGTTCAGAGTGGGCGCTTCTCATTGAAAGCTGTATAGTTAAGGGTTTAGGGTTTAGGGTTTAGGGTTTAGGGTTTAGGGTTTAGGGTTTAGGGTTTAGGGTTTAGGGTTTAGGGTTTAGGGTTTAGGGTTTAGGGTATACCCTACACGCACACCAGAGGGCTTGGGATTTAGGATTTGGGATTGTTTGGCGCCTGTGGTCTGCTCATGTTCTTCCAGCATCATGTCTCTCACTCTTTGAATATTTTGCTATTCGTATTTATTCGTATTACTGTAGTTTTACTGTCTTTGCTGTTTTGTTTCTTTTCAAGGGGGGCGGGGGGGGGGGGGTCCAAAGGCCCAAGCCTTCTTTCGAAGCTCGCTCTTACGATGGGCCTTGGTTTTGGTTCTGCGGATAAGAGGTCGGCGCCGAAACGCCAACAAGTCCTCGACGCTGGCGCCGAATTCTTATAGACCCTATCAAAAAACCCTACCAAGACCTTAAAAAAAAAACAAAACAACGCACAAAACAACTATAGAGACCCTATGAACAAAACAGAAAAACCTATAGCGACCCTATAAAAGCGCTATAGAGACCCTATACAGAGGCTATAAAACCCCTGTAAAGAATTCATGGTCGGCTCGCTCAGCGCCTTCTCCGCGCGATGACGTGTCGACACCGCCAGCGCGGAGGGCATGGGGTCCTTGTGCGGAGGCACACTTAGACCGAGCCTCCCAACTCCCTTCACTCCAAACCCCAAACCCTGAACCCTGAACCCTAAACCCTGCTTGGGGCTTGGGGCCCAAGGTTGTTGCTGGCGCAGATTGCTTGAGGCTGCAGGCTTTTGATGTCTAGGGCTGTTTAGGGTTTTGGGTTCAGGGTTCAGGGTTTCGGGTTTCGAGCTATCCCGGAACCCTGATGACTGTTTAGTTTCAAAAGGGGGTTCTAAGGGAACCCAAACCCTGAAAAAGGGAATAAGGGCCTACTCTGGGTCCTAGTTTCGCAAATCAGACGACACCATGGCTGCCAAATCTTTTCAAGAGCCCAAATCCAAGCCGCGACAGCCCTTTCACCCTCGTCAGCCCCACCCGAAAACTCCCAAGCATGGGGACAGCATAGACTTGGGTTTAGGGTTTAGGGTTTAGGGTTTAGGGTTTAGGGTTTAGGGTTTAGGGTTTAGGGTTTAGGGTTTAGGGTTTAGGGTTTAGGGTTTAGGGTTTAGGGTTTAGGGTTTAGGGTTTAGGGTTCAGGGTTTAGGGTTTAGGGTTTACATCTAGGATGGCCCTTCAAACCCTCTGAACAAGATTCCTGAATATGATCCTCTTGAACCCAACAAGGTGAACTATAACATGTCACAAAGGCCTACCGAGTCGATACTTCCTATTAAGGGATATGAATCACAAACCCTTTTAGGGTTCAGTTGGTCCGGAAGTAGTTCCTTTTGTTGTCCGTTGTGGTCGTTCTTCTTCGGAAGACAGTAAAACCCTAAACCCTAAACCCGAAACCCTAAACCCTAAAAACCCCAAACCCTAAACCGCATACTGTACTACACAACCAGGGCCCAATGATTAGACTCCAGGCAAGCCGGTGAACCCACGATGATGGGACGCGCGACGGCAAAGTCCAGAACCGTGGTTTGAAGGCGCTCGGAGACCCGCGCTCCTGGGATCGTCCCTAACCCTAAACCCTAAACCCTAAACCCTAAACCCTAAACCCGAAACTCTAAACCCCAAACCCTAAACCCTAAACCCTAAACCCCAAACCCTACACCCTGAACCTCTAGGGCTACAAGGCTCCAGAGCTTGAGAGGGTTCGGAATTTGGTTGGTCCAGGGCTTCTACCAGCTGCAAGTTTCGCAGCTTCAGAGCATTCAAGTTTGGGTTTGTTGGGTTGTGGGGTTCAGGGTTAGGGTTTAGGGTTTAGGGTTTAGGGTTTAGGGTTTTGGGTTTAGGGTTTAGGGTTCAGGGTTCAGGGTTTAGGGTTTAGGGTCTGGGTTTAGAGTTTAGAGGTTAGGGTTTAGGGGTTCAGGATTCGTTCGCTTAGGGTTTAGGGTCTGTTTCTAGGGTGTCGTGTTCAGGGCTTTCAGGAGTTTGGGCATAGGGATGCTCAGGGAGAAAGGCAAGACGCTGAGACAGTATCCGATGCCTCATGCATATTTATCATATAAAGCTCCGATGAATTTGCAATACCAAAGAGTAAGTCCTTAAAGCAAACCGATACTGCGAAATCATGACATGTTTGTATGTTAAATGGGACAAAGATAAAGATGGCAAACAAGATTCCGCTAGTCATACGCAAACGTGTGAACCGGGCTTTTTCTGAAAAAAAATACAAGGTGGGCAAAGAGAAGCTAGATAGTGGACGAGTTTTCGGCAGTCAGCTTGGTGACGTGCCTTTCAATGCGAAACCCACGATGCAAACCAAACAATAGATCCCATTGTAAGGTTTCAAGCTTGTTCAGAGAAGAAGGAAGATGCAGGTTAGATTGTGAAGAAGATTCCCTAAACCCTAAACCCTAAACCCTAAACCCTTAGTGCGTTCATGTCGTGACTTTATTCTAATAATTTCCAAGCTCACTGTTTTCATCATATTTTGCTCGCTTCTTCTCATAAAAAGATATTGCCGAGGCTTCTTCATGCCTTTCCCAATTTTGCTTGTTGTTCAATTGAGTTCATGCGTCCTTCATATCTTCACTCCTTATAACTCAATTAAACAAGCAACATAAGAGAATCAGAATGAGCTATCCAGGAAAATATTTAGTCGAATCTAAAAAAACTTCTAAAATAAAGTCACATTTCGTGCATGAATTCATGTCATTCGCACGATTTTTGTTGTTGTTCCAAACAAAAAGACCCTTGACAATAATATTTATAATGGGCAAAAAGTGAAACAAAGACCTTATTCAGGGGCTGTTATTTGCTAGACTAGCTGCTAGACCTAGGAAAATCAGCGTCTCTGCGGCCGAAATACCCTAAAATCATAGCATGGGCGTCAGTAGCAAAAAATCACAATACCAGCAATCACAGTACCAAAGCATATGAAAATAGAAGAATAGCATTAGGACTTGGGATTCGGGTGGAGGTCTCCGGGTTTGGGTTTCGCGGTTTCGGGTGTGGCGCTGGTCTCAACAACCTTGCACCGCAGGGTCTTCATGAGGTTCGTGGGCTCATGACCCCGGCCTCCCTAAACCCTAAACCCTAAACCCTAAACCCTAAACCCTAAACCCTAAACCCTAAACCCTAAACCCTAAACCCTAAACCCTAAACCCTAAACCCTAAACCCTAAACCCCTCTTCGCGGCGCTGGGCTTCTAAGGCGTAGACTCATTGGAGATTAGGGTGTAGGTAGTTCAGGAATGGGGGCTTTGAGATGTAGACTCCACGTGGACGTCGCTTGCTTGCGCTGCCTTCAAGAATCTGGGTGCCCCTCTCCCCAACATCTTGGATGCTCTATAACCCCCCCAATAAGAGTTTAACTTGTAGCTCCCTTAACATGAAATTAGAGGAACCCTAATTAAACTTACAAAGTGATAAAGTTGTAATAAAGTCCCACCCAGAACATCTGCTTCCATCTGCACGAGGTCATGTTGCTGCCGCCCCTATGTCCTTCTTTGGTCCTGCCCCTCCGCCCTCCCCGCAAATTGTTGTCGCGTTTAGCCGCGTAGCCAGTTACGGGCATCATAAAAACATAAGGAACTCGCCCCCCAACAAAACTAAACCCAGAAAATTAGCATGCAGGTACACCCTTAACCCGGACGTTGAACCCCTAATCCAAACTCGATGTGAACTTGCGTCGCCCAGGTACCACAGGCGTCGGCGGCCGCACGCAGCAAGTCCAGGGGAAGTTGCCTTGAAACGCCCTATCCCGAGGCTAAACATAAACCGACATATATGCGCACACACACACACATGTACCATCTGTACGTACATATATGCTGATACAGATACATACATTGAACATATATGTCAACATATTTATTTACATATGTGTATATATATATATATGTATGTATGTATGTCAACAGATAGATATGTATATATATATAGATATATGAATATACGTGGTCAGTTCTCTAAACTATGGTCCCTCTTTGGGTACCCAACTAGGGCTTTTTAGTCGGAGGTCTCGAGGCCTAAGCTCCTGGTTCAGAGCCAAAGGGTTTTGGGCTTTTGGGTCTGCTCATTTACGGGGTTTAGGACTTAGGATCCCCTAAACCCCAAACCCTGAACCCTGAACCCTAAACCCTGAACCCTAAACCCTAAACCCTGAACCCTGAACCCTGAACCCTAAACCCTGAACCCTAAACCCTGAACCCTAAACCCTGAACCCTAAACCCCAAACCCTAAACCCCAAACCCCAAACCCTGAACCCTAAACCCCAAACCCTAAACCTTGAATCCGAAACCCTCTGTGTGCCTGTAGTCGCTTGCCAGCACGGACGCCCCCAGCGAGGCCGCCACCAGCGAGCAAAGGCCGTTTCCGCAACCCAGCTCCAGCACTCGGGCCTCGACCCCCGTCGAGGGTTTAGGGTTTAGGGTTTAGGGTTTAGGGTTTAGGGTTTAGGGTCACTATGGGCACGTAGGACTCTCATTTTAGGGTTAGCCCCAAGCCTTCTAACACCCTAAACCCTAAACCCTAAACCCTTAACCCTGAAACCTAAACCCTAAACCCTCATCATCCTCACGCCCCAATGCCGAAGCACGCTCGAACGCGGGACGGGGGGTCGAAACTGTGGACTCGGCTTTCCAGGAGCACAAGGAAGAATGAGGGGGGACGCCCTCCTTGTTACCGAAAACTGCAAGAAGTTTAGGGTTTAGGGTTTAGGGTCTAGGGCTGCTACTGAAAGCTGCAAGAAGGGGATAAGGCTTGAGACCGACGACGACGTCTGCGGCAAGAAGTGCCCACGGACCCTACTGTGAACCTCAGGCACCCTGTCCTAAAGTAACCCTAAACCCTAGACCCTAAACCCTAAACCCTAAACCCTAAACCCTAAACCCTCAGCGAAGATCCAAAACAACGATGTCATCAAATCTAACCGTGCTACTATGTTAGTGGCTGTCAAAATTATGATCCCTTTTGGGGTACCCTACATATATTAGGTGCCGTATTCTAGTAGGGATCCAAAAAGGGACCATAATTTTGACAACCGCCCATTTAAGCTACCTGGACGCGAAATCTCCACAACCGTTTGGCGCGTATAGGTGGCTTCACTTCAGGGATCCCAAAGCCGAAGCTGATAGTCCCAATGATCTCCCTGTAAGCACAAACCACAAACCCCGTATTGCTTTCATTAAGCATATGCCAACATGCCATCCCTATATATAGCTATTGTAATGTTGGGGGGAGGGGGGGGGAGCGACTCACCTAAACCTTAAGCCCGCAAAGGAACAAAGACAGCGAGGACTTGAAGAATTGGCTGGCCAAGACACGCCCCTGACCATGCTTGGCTTGCTGAGAAGATCACTTGCGATGCAAACAGCTGCTGGCCACAGCTGGCTTCCGTACCTTTGATGGCTTGGAATCTTAGAACGGACGAAGGGGGGGGGGGGGGGGCCTTTTTAGCTGAAATGGATTCCACTTGGGGCTTCAAGCCTACAACTTAGCCTGCATAGCATTGGGATGTTCCCCCTTATACTAACAATCCGTAGTAGGGATTATACTACCCCTACTATCCCCATTAAGGACTGTTGGTATAAGGGGGTACATCATCTTGAACCTACTTGACGTGGGTATTGGAGCTGCCGCGAGTGGGATCCAGGGATGGAAGTCTTCTTTCATTACTGGCAGAAGCCAAGACTGCCCTCAGAAACTGATCAAAAGCATAATCACAACATTCCCCTGGGCTTTATGATGAACAAGCAGGAAACGTAAAACTATTCAGGCTACCAAAGAAGTTGCACATGATCCACAGATCAGGACGCGTATCCCTGCTGTCTTCGGCCGTCGCCTCGTAAACGGTGAATCTTAGCAAGTCAGTTGGCTCCAGCGAAGACGCGTTTGGGATGGCCACCTGGGCAAGCAAGGAAACACAACTCAGGATATACGAGGTGCTTCGTAGGCCTTAGGGTACTAGGGTTTAGGGTGTTGTTAGGGTGTTCGGGTGTTAGGGTGATACGGTGTTAGGGTGTTAGGGTTTTAGGGTGCAAAGGGTGTTAGGGTGTTAGGTACCAGGTACTTGGCTTGCCACGTGGCTCATCAACTTCACACTCCGATCATATCTTGTTTTGTAATTGATATGAACTTCTTTGATTCTTTAAGTTAAATGAAATTCCTGGCCCGAATTTCAACAACCCTAAACCCTAAACCCTAAGCCCTAAGCCCTAAACCCTAAACCCTAAACCCTAAACCCTAAGCCCTAAACCCTAAGCCCTGAGCCCTAAACCCTAAACTCTAAACCCTAAAACCTAAACCCTAAACCCCAAACCCCAAACCCCAAACCCCACCTCCACGGCCCTGAAGCTTGTGCTCGGGTCCTCCCTGAGCTGGCACCGGCGCGTGCGGGGGGTGGAGGCTTTGAGGTTCGGCAGCAGAAATCCGAAGCCTGGGTTGAGGGTGGAAGGTTCAGGGTTTAGGGTTTAAGGTTTAGGGTTTAGGGTTTAGGGGTCTAAGGTTCAGGGTTAAGGGAACCAGGGGAATCCTGATGAGGGTTTTTCTAGGGCTTATGCTGAAAGGGTGAAGCTGGTATCGGGCTTTAGGGGTTTTGGGCTTTTCGGAGTTCAGGAAGACATCGGGGTCCAAGATCTGTATAGACTTGGTGGTTTTGTGAAGGGGCCTTTACTGGCTGGTTCTTAGAGGGGAAAGAGGGAATAAGGCACCCTATATAACCCCTTAAAGGGTACATAGAGGGCCCTAAACCCTAAAACCCTCATTCCCTACACCCTAAACCCTAAACCCTAAACCCTAGACCCTAAGCCCTCATTCCCTAAACCAGAGGCCTTGAAGGACCTGAAGGGTTCTGGGCTTCTGGCAGATGCTTGAAGGTGGCCCAAAGTGCGGGGGCAAACGCTCCCAGAACAAGAGGGTTTAGGCTTTAGGGTTTAGGGCTTAGGGGTTAGGGGTTGAGTAGGGTTTAGGGTTTAGGGTTTAGGGTTTAGGTTTTAGGGTTTAGGGTTTAGGGTTTAGAGGTTAGGGGTTTAGGGTTTAGGGTTTCGGGTTTAGGGTTTTAAGGGTTTCGGGCTCCAGCCGCCGAGCCGCAGTCAGTGAGGCCCCAAACTCCAAGCAGCAAGGCTGCAACAAGAGCACTGCGACCGAGTCCGCATCGCCGGGCCTTGAACCTCATCCTAAACCCTAAACCCTAAACCCTAAACCCTAAACCCTAAACCCTAAACCCTAAACCCTAAACCCTAAACCCTAAACCCTAAACCCTAAACCCTAAACCCTAAACCCTAGCCCTAAACCTTACCAGGCGCAAGCTGCGGGACTCCCACAAGGAAATGGCTGCAGGTGCCTGGATGAACGGCGTTTCTTCAGCATGGTCAAGGCACACATTGGAAACCCTGAGCCCCAAACTTAAACCCTGCAGAACTCCTAAACCCTCAGCCCTGAACCCTGAACCCTAAACCCTAAGTCTTTGCTACCCAGATTGCAGCCCTGGCCCCCAAACCTCATCTCGTGATGCGTTGGACTTGGGGGGTGTGCAGGTGGAGTGTTCGGGAAACCTGAACCCTTAAACCGACTGTTTTGGGGGCATGGGGTTTAGGGTTTAGGGTTTCGTGTTTAGTGTGTAGGGTTTAGGGATATTCTGGCTTGGGGCTCCCGTGAGTGTTCAGGGTTTAGTAAGGTGTAGGGTCTTGTAGGCTTCGGATAACTTTGTCGGGCTCCTTCCAGAACAGACCCAACAATCCCTGAATCGGAAGCGAATGCTACGCTTCTACCATCTAAACCCCAAAGACACCCCCGGTTCTTAGTAGGGAATGAGGGAATCAGGGTCCGATATATACATGTTTACATTTTAAGGGATTATATGGGGTACCGCATTCCCTACTAAGAACCCGCCACTTCAGCCGAAATGTCCATTCCCCTTGCTCCCCTGCTCGTTGCGCCTGAGCTGTCTCCTGTTGGGCGGCAAAAAACCTTAGACCCTAGCCCTTAAAACCCCAAAAACTAAACCCCCAACCTGCAACCCTAAACTCTGAACCATAAACTCTAAACTCAAAACCCTAAACTCTAAAACCTGAACCCTAAACCTAAGAAAGGTTCTCACAAGCAGGCCTTCAATTCTTCTGCTACTAATTCCGCCCTGGGAAGCTCACACCCTTACACCCTTTTCCCTAAACCCCTACACTCTACACCCCTAAACTGTAAACCCCAAAACACACCTGAATCCCTAAACCCCTAAACCCCTAAACCCCTAACCCCTAAACCCCTAAACCCCTAAACCCCTAAACCCCTAAACCCCTAAACCCCTAAACCCCTAAACCCCTAAACCCCTAAACCCCTAAACCCCTAAACCCCTACACGCCTAAACCCCCAAGCCCCTCAACCCTTCGACCCCTAAACCCCTAAAACCCTAAAACCCTACCCCCCTACACCCCTACAGCCCTACACCCGTAAACCCCCAACCCCTAACCCGGGAAGGGTTTTTGTTTTTGTCGCGGGTGCTTTGTTGTTGTGGGTGCGGGGCGCGTTGTTTTATTCTGCGGATGCGGGGGCGCTTTGTTGTTTTTGCTGCGGGTGCGGGGGAGCGTTTCTGTTTTGCTGTGGGTGCGGGGGCACCGCGCGCCAGGTCACTCATTCACCCGGGGGCGTCCCCGGAAAAAGCACCACAGCAAAAAAGGACTCACAACAGCAAAAAACACATGGGTTCCACCCGGTACCCTAAATCCCTAACCCCTAAACCCCAAACCCTACCTAAATGCAAGCGCTGGCAGGGTTTGGATTCTTACTTCCTTCCGTGTTAGGGCTTAGGACTGGCTTATACGGAGAGTCGTCTACTAGAAACCCTCTAAACATCCCCATAGCGCGGCTTACTCAACCTACACTTACGAGGTCCAGGGCTTCCTAAGCCCTACGGTCGTGCGAAGTGTCTGGCCTTCGTCTGGTTCCCTTCTTATGTAACCAACCCACAACCCTGAGCTAAACAGCCAAACCCCCCCAAGTCCTCACCCCTTGAACCTTATATGCTACAGGAGGCCGGTGGCCTCTGTATCTGTCACCCTTGTACCTTCATATAGCCCCTAGAACATAATAAGAACCCGAAGGTATGCCCCTATGAACAGAAACCCTACTTAAAGAGACCACCAACCCTTAAACCTCCTTAACCCCTAAACCCTAAACCCTAATCCACATAGAGAGCAACGCCTGCACGCTTCGATCAGGTGGAAAATTATTGGCCTCTACTGGGGTTCCCTCCCAACAGTCAGGTTACTGCACTTCACACACATCCCTCCCAACAGACAGGTCGCATCATCTAGGTAATCATATGGGTGGTTGTCAAAGTTATGGTCCCTTTTGGGGTCCCTAATATGATAGGGCACCTAATGTTTTGGGTGTCCACAAAGGGACCCTAAGTTTGACAACTACCCGTATCATAATAATGAGGGTACCCTTTTTGGGGTTGGTTACTTTGTATGGGAACCTTGAACCCCCAACGAAGGAGGGTACCACTGGGCTGCCCTAAGTCATGACAGGGACCGCACAAGGGACACGCGCTTCGAGAGCTGACTCACCTACAGGGGGTTTAGGGTTTAGGGTTTTGGGTTTAGGGTTTCGGGTTCGTGTTTGCCTTGACTGGCTAGGATGCCTCCATTGAGACGTTGCGTCTTGAGATGGGCCAGATACGCTTGCACGGTCATGGCAGGAAGTCCCATGCTCACACCAACCCGTGTACCTACGGTCCCACTGAGGGTTGCCGCCTCCAAACCCTTGAGCAGCTGCGGGCGCATTGCCCTTGTAACCGTTTTGCTGGGGACATCCAGCATTGCTATGCTCCTGTACCCTTCGACGACCCATGGAACCTTGCCCATCGGTACTGACAGATTGCCACGCCATAGCAACGGAGCGTGGTGCCGGGCAAGAATTATGAGCACAATAGGGAAGTGTGCAATTTCGAACCATGGTGCCGTTTGGGGTCACTAGTAAAAGGCGGCCCCTGATATTTAGGGTACCCAAAAGGGACCATCATTGTGAGAACTGACCATATATGATATTCTCAGTAGACCCTGAACACTAACCCAATTCATCAGCACCAACGCTAAACCCTAAATCCTAAATCCTAAGCCCTAAACCCTACAGGGCAGATATGGGCTACTGTGGAGACTAACCCATGGTCTCCTCGTCCATGAGCTCAGCTCCCGCCAAGTCGACCCACGGAAAGCGCTCCGCGACCCTAGAGTTAAAAGGTGGAGAACGCGAGGAGTCTTGGGGTTTAGGGTGGGTTTAGGGTTTAGGGTTTAGGGTTTAGGGTTTAGGGTTTAAGGGGTTTAGGGGTTTAGGCAGTTAG